CAGTCTCTGTGGCTAGCCGTGGCACCACTCCTCCCAGTGAAGGAGAAGGTCCCACCAGGAACCGGGAGAGTGGCACAATGGCTGAGACCTCTGCCAAGTTGGCCCCTTCCCCCTCTGCCATGTCCTTGGTGACCCCCTCCACGACGAGCATGGTGGGCGCAGAAGACAGGATGCAGACTGTGCCCACGATCCCAACTCAAGAAGGGAGCTCTCTCGGGGTGTCTGCCAGCAGTGAGACGACGAGACCAGCCTTCCCAGCGATGAGGACCAACGCCACTGCCACCACTGTGGCCATAGCGAGTGGCAGTGCTGCCTCCCTGTCCCTTGGACCCAGCTCGGCACTGACGAGACACTCCTCTGCCTCTGCTGTGGGCTCCTCAACTGCCACGTTCAACCCGCAGAGAAGCAGCACCATGGAAGCCCTCTTGGCCACCACAGCTCACTCATCCACAGCAGTCATGTCATCCACTCTTTCGTCCACCCCTGGCGTTACAACTCTGGGGTCAGGCACAGTGACAGCAGAGGCCGTGACGCACAGTCCAGCTCTGAGTGCACCCAACCCCAAGCCATCGGCTTCCTCCTCCATCACGTCCCACGCCTCAGGTACCACCGACACCAGCCTTTTGGCCACGCTGACTGGCAGGCTGGAGACGCAGGCAGCGCGGCTCACCTCCACACCTCTCATGCAGGGGCAGGCCATGGCGGAGGCGGCAGACACTACATCTTCTACGAGGAGCCCCTTGCCTCCCACGGTCTCTGTGGCTAGCCGTGGCACCACTCCTCCCAGTGAAGGAGAAGGTCCCACCAGGAACCGGGAGAGTGGCACAACGGCTGAGACCTCTGCCAAGATGGCCCCTTTCCCCTTTGCCGCGTCGTTGGTGACTCCCTCTACAACAAACATTAGGAAATCAACATTTCATCTTCCGTTTTTTACTCTGACTTGCTGTGAGTATTTTAATTTGCATTATTGCTCTCTATTTTTTGTTTTCTTCGAGAATTGTTATTTTTTTTTATTTTTTGTAGTTTCAGTTCGAGTTCTAACTTTTTTTAATATGTCTTTAATCTTGGAATACAACGCAGGATTATCAATGACAACATCCTCATACATTTCTTAAAATTTGCTCCTCTATACTGCTTTAGTATTCACAATGCACAGTTTGTGCTTCCGCAGTGTGATTTGTAACCAAGGGAAAATGCTGTGTAGGTATGTTGCATAGGTGATGTAGTCTTCGCTGGAACTGTAATTATTGTTATATATCTGAATTTTGAAATTCCCTTCTATGGAACATTAGAGGTAGTTCTTTCCTTTAAGAATCCCTCCATATTTATTCGTGCTATCTCTGTTCTTGTTTGCTTGAATTCTAATTCTCTTCTAGTGCATGTTTATTGTTTCCCGTGTGCCTATCTGCCTACTTCAAAGAAAATGCTGTAATGGATCTTACTTCACTTTTTAATGGATAAAAATTAAGGCAATGACAGACAAGAGGAGAATGCATTGTTTTTCTCTTCTGCACCAAAAAAAATTAATAAAATATTTGAGGTGATTCTTTAATTTTTAAAGTATAACAGTATTCTTCTAGTTTGAATACAAATCTACAGGGTTAATCCTAATCTCACTTGGTGTTGTAGTTCTCTCATGGAATTGAAGATGTACACATGCATGATAGAGTATAACTTGGTCTTTCACACCTTGATACAAGCATTGCAGAGATTTTTTTTTTCTTAGGCAATGAGTTTTGCATTAACACTTTTTTCCTTAAAGACACACAGACTATAACTACAGGTCCTACAGGAATTTCCGTTTTGCTTTTTAGCTCCCATCACTTTCTTCATTCAGCTGGAGGATGTGACCAGTACAAGGATACAGTTCAGCTGGAAACCTCAAGGTGGCACAAGAGAAAGTCTTTACAGAGTGCACCTGTGGGAAGGCGCTCGTGAGATGAAGAGAAGCCTGAATGAAACAAGTACTGCATTTGAAAATCTGGTTTCTGATCATGAGTACCAAATATCCGTGGATGTTTCGACTTGCTCTAAGAATGTCAGTACCTCCTTGACAGTTCGGACAGGTATTTCCTCAGGAACCTTTTCTTTTTCCCATTAGCAGACTAACATACACATGGCCTGAAGGTGAAGCCCTTTTTCACTGAACGTGTACCCAAATAAGAGTAAACTATATACTGAAGTGAATAGTCAAAGGGAGGCCAAACTTTCCGACAGTAAAAGACAGCCTGCAAATCTTTCATAGGGCTAAGACACAAAACCTCCCTTGTCCTCCTTGCCAAATCCAAAACTTTACTGAACTGGAAGCACAGTGGTTCAACATGCCAGTCTTTCCCAGCTCCGTAGTCTTCACGTCCCAAGCCTGTCCTGCTCCTGCATCTTCACATGCAAGTTGTGCCCACTTTTGGCTTCCCAGTCACATAGCAGTCAACAGGTTTAAAGCCACAGTCCTCCTGTAGCCACTTAGCCTAGGAAAGCCCAGAGTCCTGCACGTCCTGCTGCTTGCTCGCTTTGCAAATCCTGGCTGCTGTGTCAGCAGATGCAACAGCTGCATTATGGCAAATGCTTACAGTAGGATACATCAGTGCTGTTGTATTCACAAATGAAATACCTATTTTCTTATCTATTATCTGGAGTCTTGCACTGTCCTCCCACGGGACAGCATCTGTGATTCCGGGAGCAACTGTGCCTGGTACGTGAAGGGATGTGTTGGAAGGAGCAGAGTCAATGCACTGCAGGTCAAGGGTAGGCCTCTTGCAGGGACTGGTGTTCAAAGCTGCCTTGCTGTGAGGCATATAATCCACGGGCATGGTGGTCCTTCCCCTTCACATCTTGTAACAGCTTGTACTCTTCTTTCAGAGACACCTCAAGTAAAATATGAGGAATACAGCGGTCGTTGTGTGGTACAGAGTTTTTATGAGTTATATTGTGGTGGTGTGGGAAGTTAATCTGTCTACTTTCACCTCTGGTGTGCTCTTATCTTAGAGGTACTTAGCTGAGGAACCATATTTAAACAATACCTGTACTCTGGCTAGTTATTCTGTCTTTAATATCTCCACAGCTGCTGAAGTCTTCAGTGGAACCACCAGGATTACCAATGAAGTTTTCATCCCTGAATATCAGAACAAATCAGGCAGAGCATTTAAGGACTTTGAAACAAAGTTTATTAATGAGGTATTCTGCTTAGGAATTCTAAACCAAAATTTATTTTCTGTTCAGCTCTTCCTAATGTAAATAATCATAAGAATCTGGGTGTGAATAATCTTAAGCAAAGATTGTGTGATGGTTAGAAACAAAGCAATACTATTTAAGGCCATATTTCTCATCTATATTGTGGTCCTTTGAGGCCCTGGTTTAAATGAAATTCTGTCTGGGAGTTACTCATATTCTCCTGCCACGAGAGATTATTTTAAATGACTTACGGCCAGTGTATTGCTCTAACAATTCTTTATGTTAAAGGAGAAAAACAGATAGTAACTTAAATCTTTGACCTTGCAGACAGAAAAACATTTGCCACAAAAGATCCTAGAAAAAACACGTATTGTAATTAATAGCATCAAGAATGGCAGTGTGATTGTGACCTTTGACATCGTGCTGGATGTAGGAGAAAATATAACAAAAAGAGAGGTTTCAGACGCTTTTACAGAGGCCCTTAGCATGAGTACAGTATTGGAAGCCGATCTTGAAAGAACTGTTATAGAAGGTATGAATCTGTTCATCACTGTGAATTCAAGTAGTACTGTACATTTCACTGATGGTAACATCCAATGTAATGGTATTTAAGTGGGGAAAGGCAATTGCAAATAGTATTCTGTTTATCTCTCTTTCCAGTGCGGACTTAAAACTTTGTTCTTTTTCTGTTTTGTTTAATTTCACTGTAGCAAGGAATAGTTGTCAGCCAGGATTAAATGACTGTTCCCAACATGCTACCTGCACTGCTGAAGGAGCACATTATTCCTGTCAATGCAACAAAGGATTCACAGACAACAGTCCCAAAGTTCCAGGGAGAGTTTGTCAGCCAAAGCAGAATCTACCTTCATGTAATGGCTTTACATTTTTTTTTTAAAAAAAAGGTTTAAAAAATTGCATATATGGTCTTTTCCCTCCCCTGACCCTCCCTCAGGTAACAGTTCATTATGATTACTTACACTGGCCTTTGATGGATTGGATTTTATGTGAGAATGTGTGCCATAGTTAACTATTTAGGCAAACAATGGAAGCATATCTTCTGGGCTTGTTTTCTCAAAGTTGTTTATGAAAATAAATAACCTAAACTTGGTGAAACTTTAAAAGAACTTCTACTCACTGCCTGCAAATTGCTATTTTACAGCACAGGTGACTACAGTCCCTCCAAAAGGTGCTACAGTGAGATTTACAGGATCCACAGCTAATTCCATTTTCACTACCACATTTGCATCAGGACCTTGCGGTAAGTAAATATTTAATATTGAATACTAGAATAAAACTTATCCAAGATGAGTTATTAAAATCAGATACAATATTATTGTTCATCAGTCATATCAGCTGTGAAGTAAAATCTCTGGATATAACTTCAGAAAGGGAAGCCTGACTGAACCACTGAAAATACATAATTATACAAGTATCAGTCAAGACAGTTTCTACACCTCAGGAAAACTCTCCTGGACCCAGTAAGGCTGCACTGGGTGCCTGCCTTTAGTGATAAACAACTGTGATAGATGATTTTTGTTAACATTGCTATGAAGCACTTTTATTAAATGCCTATTTACTGGTCTAAACTTAGGCTTTCCTGCTGGCTTTTTAGTAATCCATCCTCCTGATAATATCGGTATGAGTCAAATAGCAGTCCACCTCAGAACACTCATCAGAGCAGCTGCCTTGCCTGCAGTGCGAAAGACTAGAAGCAAGTAAAATGTTACCCATTTGTGTTTTGGAGCCATCAAGTAAAATGCATTAATGTATGATTTACATCTATAGAGCAAACAGTTTGTTTCTGCTCTTGTGGGAGAATGGGGTGAAAGGCTGAAATCAGTCCTAAGAAAACTCACAAAGATTTCTCTTATTTTAATTTGTATTTTTTTTGCTTCAGTATTAAATGTGTCGAATTGCAGAAATGAAATGAAGTGCCCTCAGCTGCATGAAATTTTTTTGCTTTGCAGTGCCAGTGTCCATCGCAGTTTGGAATGTGACTGAGGAAGCAATACAATTCAGCTGGACTGGTGGCAGGAGAGGCAGCGTCTATACCATCTCCCTCATGGATGGAAACCAGGAGATAAATAAAACCACTACAAAAGAGACAAAGCATATGTTTAAACATTTACTTCCCGGTCATGTATACACAATATCTGTGGCAGTATTACCTTGCGCTGAGAATAGCCAGACTTCAGTCAGTGTCCGAACAGGTATTTCCTCAATCATCCTGTCATTTCTTTTTAAGGAATGTGCTCTTAGAATATCTTTCTACAATATGATTTGGATTTGATGTCATAGACTATGATTCCTGTAAGCCATCTTTATTTATCTGACTCATCCCTTTACTTGGATGGGACTACTTGGACTAAACAGGAGTTTGCAAATGTAAATGCTTATTCTATAAAATTTCTGACCATGCTGTATTGTTGAACCAGATAATTCTCCACAAAGTCAAGATATTTGGGTCGAAACTTTAACAATAAATATTCTGGCAATGTGCAGTTTAGGTTATACATGCTTTTGTGAATGCAGGCAGTCCTCAATTGTCATTGTTCTCTTTCTAATTTCATCCTAGTACATAGACATTAGGATGGACTCTTTAATTGTATCACTGTACTAAATTGTAAGTGGTAGAACATTTGCTATACGTTTTCTTAAAATTTCAGATACACCTGCGAAGTGTCTTTCAGGAAGTATATACTCCTGGATGCTTACATCCTTTCCCTCAGCCAAATTCTTTTGACTAAACTTTTCGTATCATGTACAGGGCCTCCCAGGTGACATTGCCTTCTTTACAAGCTATTTAGGGACTGTACATATAATCTGGATCCAACATTTCAGCATCCAGGGCACTCAATAGGACATTCTTAGTCAAAATGTCTGTGCGCTGATGGTCATCATGTCATGGGTACCTCTGCAAAAAATGTTGCAGGCAGAAAGGAACTTGTTTTTCTTGAAAGATCTTCCTCTGCCCAACTCTGACCACACAAAAGCAGTGTGGGGCCCGTAGAGTAGTGCTGAGCCTGAGATCCATATCTGCCTCTTAACAAGGTTTACAACAAGTGGTCTGTTAAGTGTAGCTCTGTAGTTACAAGGTAAAAACTATAGCAGGTTCTCATCAACTCGTTTAGAAGCCATCTTGAAAGGCCTTAGGCATTTTTCCTCAGCTATTCCAAATTGAAAACAGTTCCAGAATTGCATTACTCTGATATTTGGAAAACATTATCCATGGCCAGCCTGAAAGTATCCGTGGCAAATCCATATCCATTTGCTTTTGTGCCAACATTGCCCTCTAACTTAAACAGCTCCTTCTCTTCCTTTCCTCATATTGTGTTCTCCCTCCCCAATACAATTACAAACTTGTGCTGCAGACAGTGCTCTCAGCCTTTGTTAGACTAGCCAAGCTATTCTTTCCTAGTTTCCTTTCCAAAGAAGAATTCTTCTCTGCCTTGGAGGCCCCCATCACTCTTCATTTTTTTTGAAACACAAGTCACCTTCCTTGAATGTGGGTAACTGGGATTTCACACAGACATACAGGTAAGCTTGGGACCATTGTGCTCACCATATCATTAGCATATCATTGTGCTTACCATATCATTAGCATTCCTGTCTCTACTGGAAATGTGTTGAACGATGCATCATATGACTACAAAGGCTTTTTTCACAGCTGCATCAGAGCTGTGATGAGCTCAGGCATTGAAGTCCTTTTCTCTTCCATGCTTGCACTGCCAGGTTAGAGAAGAAATTTTTAGTATTTATCCCTAAACGCACAGCTTTCAGGAAATGTCATTCCAGAGCTGCTGCTCCAACCGTGGTTCCGTCCAATACTTTCTGGAAGATATCTCAATTCTCACATGTGGTAATGACACCTACCAACTTTCTACCATCAGCAAATTTTGTGAGCAAACTCCTGCATTTTCTGGTAAGATCTAGAATGGAAATGTTGGACAAGTTCTACACCCAGATTGATACGTAATGTCCCTCTAAGCAGGGTTTCTTCTTCTAAAGCTACCCATTGCCATCTCCCTGTTGGTCAATTCCTTTACACAAATCTTTTTCCACTAAAAAAATACTATTTGGCACTGTATAATACTGCTTTTCTGTCATTAGAAGAGATCTGAAAGTCAGCTTGTCGAAGGAAGCTACTAGGTTAATTTGGTATGATCCACTTTTAATAAAACTGTATTGCACTTCATCATACTTCTCTGTGGCTGAGAAGATTTTCATGATTTCTTTTGATATCCTTTGAAATATCTAACTTCACTTTTGACATTTGTTACTTTGAGAAAATTTTCATGATTTCTTTTGATATCCTTTGAAATATCTAACTTCACTTTTGGCATTTGTTACTTTTTGCCAGCATTTCTGGACCTCTAAAAGATAACTCTGTTGCAACCTTTTCTTCTGTTCTCTAGTGGATTGTATGATTATTCTCAAAATCCTTCTAGGGTAGTTATTCCAGCAGTTAAATGTGGGTTTCCTTCTGAAGGACTTAACCTCTGTCTTAGGCTTTAGAACCACAAAGCCAAGGAATTCTCATCGTAATTTCCATTCAAATCTTTCAATACTTCAGTCTAGTGGCCTTCATTTATTGCTTTCCCTATTTAAAAAAACCCAGTTGTTTCCTTCTGTAATCTGAAGCCATCTGCCCTACCAGAAAAGTGTTTGTGAGCTAATTAAAAAGAGCAACAAAGACCAAGTCATCTGGATTTTAAGTGGAGTTAAAGATTGTGTCCTATTCTGTGAGGAAAACTACAGCTATACGCAATGAGTTAACCATACAAAAAACTGAAGTACCACCCTTTAATACTATTTTGACCCATTATAAACAGTTCAGATTAGCCAGTCCAGACAAGCATACTGAGGTTTTTGAAACTCCAGGATGCGTATTGTTTTCAAATGAAATTGCAGGTGACTTTTACTTCTGAAAACTCTGTCTAGTTTATCTGAGTTGTACAAGCACATATCAGCACAGCCTATATTTTTAACTCTCATAAGAAGTTAGAGTTCTTAGCATTACCTTGGTGAAATTCTCAAATAACCACCTGCCCACCCATGGCCTGCCTCTCTTCTGATATGCTCCATTTTTATAACCTGCAGATGTAAATTCTCACTGGGCAAAAGGAACTGCTGCTTAGGTGATTCTTTGGCCATGGTTAAATGCTTTCTCCTATTTCAGTATAGAAGTATGGTGCACTAGGTGGAGCACAAAGAGGGGTTTTTCACCCCATCATTTTCTTACTAGCAACAATCAGCATGCACAGAGGCAATTCTCTTGATTTTTTTAAATTTATTTTACAGATCCTGTTTCCTGTTTCAACAGAACTGAGTTTTGCTTACCACAAAACACTGGCTGTCCTGACTTAAAATATGTTGTATGCTCATGTAAGTTCTATAGAATTTTAAAATTAGTTTATTCATAACTATAGAGTGTCATTTCACACTATAGTATCTTTCATGAGTGTTTTGCTATCTTGCTTTATTATGTCACTTCACATAGCATCTGAAGTTCACACTTTTTGGATAAGGAAGCTGCCTTCATCAAATTTCAGTGTCAGCTTCCAGCTCTATTTTTAGTCTGGACTTTTCTATGTAAAGCTTATTTCTGTTGGCTTAGGGCTCATCCACCTGCTCGGGAGGATTGAAACACACTCAGTGTCTTGCAGAATCTAATAGAATCTTGCTTCTGCTCAAAACAGTGGGAGAGTGGCTGTTGATTTAGGGAGTAGGATGCACCTTGAATAATATAGGAATGACTAACAAGTTGTGAGAACTGTAATGGTCAACAAATTTGAAAAGGAAGAAATTTAACTCTTGAAGGTTCAGAAGCCAGTGTGTTAGATACAATGACATGATACACTTTCTTATTATTTGATTAGTTTCTGTTTTTATCAATTAGTATAAAAAATACATGGGATAATAAAATTCAAAAAGCAAGTGTGGAGTGACATCTTGGGATTCACCTAATTGTTTCACTTTTTTTTTCCAGATTACCAAGCATTTGCCTGCAGCGTTCTGTTAAAAAGCCAGACATTTAATTATACGCTATATAATTCTGATAGTAAAGGCTACAAAACAATGTCTGAAACTATCAAAACAGAAGTAAGTTGCTGTAATCTCCTTTGTCATTATGAATGAATTAAGAACAGTTTTGCAATTAGCAACATCAGCCTCCTAGCTTCGTTCTTAAATCAAGATTGCGACAGGACAAAACAGCATAGGAAGCACAAGAACTGTCTTGACCGAAGGACAGAAAACATGTTTTCCAGTGAGGAGGGGTATGTTCCCTAACTCATTCTCAGAAGAAAGAACTTTAGTGAAGGACACTTTAAATTATATTTTTAGAAGTATAAGGAACGTCCTATTCTGTTCGTTTTCTCCCACCTTACTAAGCAGATGCCTATGGAGATAGAAGAAGAATAGTACTCAGAAATAACATTTCAACACATACTTGGAAATATGGGACCTTGACAAGTTTGTACTGTTAGTCCAGATCATTGTGATTTTGCTTCATGGTAATGGTTCCTGAACTGGAGAAGGTACCAAGGGGACCATATCAGGGGCGAACTGAAGAGAGAACATGGAAGCTTAGAGACAGTGTATGAGCCTAGTAAAGCTGACATGAAGAAGCAGAAATCTGTCATTAGCAGGATGTTAAAGAAAAGGAGTAATAATTTACATGCCTTTCAGGAATCCTGATATACATGAGCCTGTTGAAAGGTAAAACTACTGTAAGATTAGAGCAGACCACTTTTAAATAACTAATTATTTTTAGTGTGATTATCATACCTTTTAGCTATGAGTCTCCATGGATTTCATCAGCGGTAATTAATTTGTTCTCACAACGCCAACTCCTTGTAACCTTGTCTTATGACTGCTGGCATCTCCATTTTATGGACAGAAAATTTGCTTCAATGAATTTAAAAGGCTTCCTCCAACCTGTCTGAAGGCAACAGGAGTCCCTTTACTGCCTTTTAATAAGCTTTCATGCAGCCCCTGTGCAACATGCCAGCATGACTGTTATCAAAATTTTCTTTAAAAATGGCAAATCCAAGGACAGGCTGTACTACATGACTGAAAATGTAACCAGTTTCTGTGCTGGATTTTTTTAAATTTTGAATATTGAACTATCTCTTTTGATTTCCACAGTACTATGACTCTGTAGTTGTAGTTTTGAGATTTTATAGTTTCACCTGCATAGGCCAGGTTTCCTATTTAGACCACTCACTGTGATGAGGAAAAGAAAAGCATTTTTGGAGTCTTCATCAGAGAACAAAATGTGACATGTAGTTTGGGGTGGGGTTTTATCCTAGAGAGAAAGACTGAGTTAGACAAGTAAGCAGTGATTCAGAACAGAGTTTCTTATCATCTATGAAAAATAGTAATCTTTCAGACTTTTCAGGTAAAATATCATATATTTCCATGGCAAGAAGATACATTCTTCTTAGTGGGAAATAAAACCCTCGATTTTCTGTAAAGATCAGTCCTGGCAGAAATGTTTTAACCAGCCTTACTTGGAAAGGAGGCCTGCTTGTTCTTGCCCTATAGCCACACGAAAGCACTAGGCAAGACTTGTGGAGATATCAGTGTAAACCTGAAATCATTCCAGTTGGTGTAATGGGATTACACTTAGTTGATGCCAGAACAACTGAGAGACAAATCAGACCCTTGACTCTCTTTGCATAGTTATTCTGTAGCCTCATGATTTTGATAATCTGGTGATAAAAATATTTTAGCTGTTCTAAACCTCTAGCATCAAGTTCTGCGCTGGTAGTGTGCGCATGACCTTGCTTGAAGTGTAGTTGTACGTGTTAAAAAAGCTAGGGGACATTGAGGATAACTTCAGAAATGTTAGGTGCACTTTGTATATTCCAAATTTTGTACAGTTGGCTTCCCATATGGTTATGTAGCCTGTGGAGGAGGACAACTAGTTTCAATGCAGTATCCATTGACAGCTAGCTAAAAAGATTACTGCTTTGGAAGTCAAACTTTGATTTCATATTCTCAGTCACAGACTGTGTGTTGTTCCAGTATCCTCCTTCAGTAAGATTTTTAGTGGTATAGACAAAATATACTGTCATTATTCAGTTATTTGTTATTCCAAAGACATTACCTTGAAGGAATAAGTGCAGAAAATGAACATCCTGGTGTGTGTATGATATGTGCGTTCCCGCTCTGCCTCAGTTGACTGACACATGGAACAAATATCAATTTTGATTTACACAGGTTGTTAGAGAAATGCGCATTAAACTGAAAGATGACCACTTCGATATCGTTATGCTTGGATTCAGACCTGGGAGTGTGATTGCTTATTTCATTTCTCTACTACAAAAACAAGAGCCCATCGATGTGAATGTTATGCAGGCATCCTTAAGTCAAATATTAAAAAGCAAGTTTGGTGACCAAACTGAAGTAACTGTACAACGTAAGTGATGCTGAAACAGCCTCTCTGTGGTGGTGTGGGGATTAAAAGGTCAGATCTCCCGCTCTTCACAAAAGCTGATAAACTAGCTTCTTTCTTTTAAGAGACTGAAGTATTTCAGATAACCTATTCAAGCATTCACAGAACACATACTCCAGATATCGTGTAGATTATCGGTCTGTTTTAAAGAGCCACTGCACATACCCAGTTCCAGACTCAAAGGACGGGCTCTCCTCATATAGAAGGTTTTGCAACACAGAGTGCTGCAGAGATGCAGATAGGCAGGGAGGGAAAGCGGAAATTGTGCAGGGTAGTAATCCAAAATACAGTGTCTGTCATGCTCGTGGTAGCGGCAATGTGCTTGCTGCCTTAGGCTGCTGTGAGCTGGGGGCTTTTCACACAACATAGATGCTCCTTCTGCCCCTGTTAATAGCCTCTCTTTGTAAAATGCTGGCTAGCACTATAATTTAATTTAACTATAATTTAATTTATGTGCCTGTCCACTGTTTCTACACACATCTTTACCACAGAGATGAGTTATGTGCTACAGGACTTTCCCTGCCTTTATCTGGCAATCAGGAAGTTTTCTGGTTTTGGTCCATCAGTTTAGTTTTGGTTTCAGCGGACCATCTTGTGGAGCAAGACATGGGTAGGTGTGAGTACAGCTGGCAGACCAGGTCCTGATAAATTTCACAGAGTTGTTTGTGCAAGTATAAGGATGACAGTGAGGGTTACATTATGTACATCTCCATTTCTAAGCCCTTTTTCACACCTTGGAATGTGAAAACCTCTTTGTTGAGATACAGACTGGAGTTCTCTCCTCCCAGAACGTTCCAGATACTTTCCACCAAGCAAATCCTCAGAGCTGCTGATTATGGATGTCACCAATAGGTCACAAGACCTTCAGAGAGAGAGGACTCCATAAAATTTTCTTGTTAACAAATCTTTACTACATACAAAAACATTTTTATTATTATTCCAAAGTTTCAAACGTGCCAAACAGTAAAATGCAGCTGTCACTTAGGGCTCCAAGCTTTCTTACACCTACTTTTTACTGTTTCTAGCTAAAATTTTAAATGTGTTTTAAATTTCCAGCTCTGTCTGCTCAGTCATCAACTGGAAATTGTTCCATGTGGAAAGTGGCAGTCATTGTCCTTGGAGTTTTACTTGGAGTTGCTTTAGTGCTGATTCTTCTGGTAACACTGGTTTACATCTATATGAAGAAAAAATCGGGTAAATACTTTGTTGAACCCACAGGACTCCTAGGAAATTTTGTCTACAAGCACTTATAAGCCATCGGTTTCATTTACTTATTTTGAGTAAGGGGAAAAATTAATGTATTTGTTTTAAAATTGTATGTTTTCATATTAACTTAAGATAACTCTGCCCTTTTCTTCCCAATGTCCATCACCAAATCCCTGAGCTCCTAACCAACTCTAATGAATCACCCTTTTAACACTGCTCTCAGGTATGGAGTGGGGAATTTTCCCCATCTTACACGTGGTAGAGTGCAGCACAGGGAAACTTGTGTTCAAACTATCCACTACAGGTGTTGCAATGATTCCTAACCATTGACTATAAAGAGAGACAGGATCTGCACTGCTCAATGCTTTCTTACATTTAGATGACACAGCAAATGGAATGATGGATCTTAGTAGCTACGGCAGGTCACCTGACTACACAGCTGAGCCCAGAGTCATCCTGTTGGACTTGATGCACTTGGCCAAGGGTGATTCACCTCACCTGAGATATTTATCACCATATGAAGATGTCCCTTTCTCTCCAGTGACAGCAGAATGAGCCCAGGGCAATTAGTGTTCTAGCATGTGCAGGTTGCTTAGGAGTCTGAAGGGAAGTGGAATAGATTTGGGCTATACAGACTTCCTATAGGAGTCTCTGGTGGAGCAGCAATTTGATCTGCAGGCTTCTAAATTCAAGGTTAATTTCTTTAATTGTTGGGCTATGAAGAAACAAATGCCTTTATGTGACACAATGCTAAATACAGGTGTGGTGTAATAGGAAATCGGTAACTGCATAGATTTGACATGTTACTATATGGGGGAAGGGATAGAAAGGGTTAATTTGAACTGAAGTATTTTACTTAATTATTTTTGCCTGTCAGAAATGGTTGATTGGGCAGGGATGTGTCATATAGTGCCATTTTGCCTTGTTCTTGATAATCCCAAAGTAGAGTCTGCTAAAAGCAACCTGAAGGATCCTGCGGCATGGACCAGACCTTGTGCTTCAGAGCAATGAAAAGAAATAGCCCTTATCTGTTTTCACCACTCTTAGCGGCAGTGGTGAAGGTATGGTCTGTTTCTCCTGTGGTGTATTCTTTCTGCTTGGAACACGTTGAACAAATGATAAAGGGCAGTATATCACTGTACATGTTTTCAGTAAGATTTATGTATTTCATCACAAACCAGTTCTCCTTGTGTCTGTGCATTATGTCTGTATGCCAATGCCCTGCGTTCCCGTGATGTTGAGGCCCTGGCTTATGCCTGCCAAACAGTTCAGGCCTTTTGTCTTTGCAGATTACATTATGGTTAGTTGGCGTGGGTAGGAGTAAGGAGGTGTCCAGAACTGTCACGTGTTGCGGGACACCAGCAGAGACAGGACCTCAGCAGAGCAGTGGTTCACAAGCAACTCTGCTGTCCTCTGGGTGCAGCCAGTGTTAGTTTTTTTATACCTCCTTTGCTGCGCTACATTATGGCTTCCGGAGGAACCTTGCCGAGGACCCTGGTTAAGCAGAAGGGTGAAGCCAACTTTTGTGCTGGCGTTACTGCAGAAAGGCTGATATAGTCCAGGCTGTATCACCACCCTGATGAGGGAAGTCATGTCCAGCCTTGCTCCTCTGCCCTTGGCTTAGCCTCAGTGTCACTGTGCGAGGCAAATGGGCTGTGCTGGTTGAGAAGGGCAGGCTGTGTGAGTACCTAGGGCATCTTTGCACACAAAGTTGTGTTGGCAGTTTATGTTCCTGTCTGGAATGTCATTTTCTTGTTTGCAGGGACCTATGCAAGAGGGGTCTTTCATGACTTGCTCTTTCTTTCCTTCCATGTTTGGCTGTCCTGCTCAGGTCTGGCGTATGGGGTCACAGCCCACCTCACTGATGGAAAGTCAGTGTGATTAATATTTGTTAAACATGTTCTATCTGGGTTTTAAACATAGCTAGCTCTGGTGTTATCTTCTCTGAGCAGTCACTTGACAATGTATACTGTCAGTGAAAATCAGTTCTCCAGTGAGCTGTGTTGAAAATACTAATGAGCGCTCTTGCTTACGTTGATACTGTTTTGGTTTTTTTAGGAGTCTACTTCGAATAGCAAACTCTCATTAGTAAACCTTTTTGATCCTGGCAAATAATGTTGAAATAAAGACCATGTACAGCAGGCTTGTACTATGGAATTGTGGGACTTTGTAATGCAAAATATGCTTAAACTCTCTGACGAAAAGTGGTATTTTATATGATTTTCTCAAAAATGCTTTACAAATAAAACCTCTATTTTTACAATTTTTCATTCTGAAGGTATCTGCTGTTCTTATTTTATCATGTAATTTGGAGCCTCTTCTAGCTGCAGGAGGGTGGCAAGCACTATCAATAACAGAGCTAACCTTGATCCAGTATACATTTATACAGAGGCACGATCTCCTTGAGCTAGGTTAAAGAAGGTCTAATGGATCTAGCCTTATTTTTTTCCCTGCTCCAATAAAAATCCCCCTATCACCATACTGTGGTGTCTAGACTCTGAGAACTGTCAGAAAATGAGAGCAGGAGTAGCCAGAGCTCCCCTTTCCACAGGGGACCGCTTCCTCGCTTCCAGGCAGCATTCAGACAGGCTCATACATGTTCCCTACTCAGAGAGATGCGGGCCCAGCAGTAGGACAGAGAGATAACTGGCCAACGGTAAGATACTCAGAGGTATCTAGGCAGCTGGATCCCGTTGATGCCAGTGGGATTTAAGCAGCCCCTACATCTTTGTGGGTCAGGGTCCATATGAGTGAGGAAAGGCACTTTGCCTGTTTCAGACTCAGTTTTTTTTTCCCTGGAACTGACTGTCATTATCACCCAGAACAACTTGAGCTTCTCTGGCTTCAAGAGCTAGGGATGAGCCGGTGCCTCAACAGCAGAACTACACAAGTCTGTTTCCCAGGGGTTGGCACCCTGCACGGTCTATACACTGTCATTTCAGTAAAGCACCTTCCCATCTCCATGACCCCTCCTGCCCCCAGTCCATGGTCATTCCACAGTGCCAGCTTTTCTCCCACGGTGCCTCTGGTCTTGCCTCCTCCCTCTCACCCTCTAGACCTGTGCAAGAGATGGCATAGTCTGGGTGATGTTTGAGCTTTCCCTTAGTGAAGCAATATTAAAAGCCTCTGGTGTTCACCATACTTCAGTGACCCCAGTATCCTTGAGACCTCTGAGCCTCTCTTTGAAGGCATCTACATGGTTTCAAGTTTAGTTGCAACTGGCCAACATTTGCAAAAGTTTTTTGGAAGGTCAACTGCTGAATAGACAGATGGGCTGGTAGACCGATTGTCAGCGCGGTCACACATGTCTTCTCTCCTTAGACATGTAGACTAATCAATATCTGCCTAAACATCAGTTTGGGAGTTACACAGTGCCCCAAAACTTTTCAAATGCATCTCCCATGCTGGGGATCTCTCAAGTGATTGGCAGCAGGGCTGCTGTGGAGCCTGCTGGGCAGCCTGGCCGTGAGAGGAACAGAGCCAACAAGGGTTAGTGGAGGCCATCATCTTCTGGGATGTAGCACCGTACTTGGCCCTCAGGTGCTGTTGTTTCCCATCTGAGAAGCGACCTGGAGCTCTCCTGCCTCATGTTGCTCTGAAGTCTGATGTAAGCGCCTCAGCCCTCTGCATGTGTTTTATCACTTCACTTTGATATAGGTAGTCAGAGTGTCTCACCAGTTATATGGTCTATCACGCAGGAGGAGAGAAAAGTGCTTTCAAATAGAAGAAATTCTGCAGATACTGATGCAGATGGGAGGAAGGTGCTGGCACAGCTCACCTGTGGGACTGATGGGATTTCCAGCCCAGGGGGATTCTCTACAAAACAGTAAAAATTAGAGGTAAATTGCTTAAGTTCATAAATGTGGAAGATAATAAACCAAGCAAGAAGTGGAAATTTAAAAATGTCAGAAAGTATACATTGTAGGATAGCATGAAATATGTTAGTCTGAAAGTAGAACACTGCGCAGCGCACACCAGCTGTAGCTTAATATACCACCCATTTTTTGTACAGACAGGAGGAATGTAGCCAGATAATAATATATTTTGCTCGTGTGAACCTCTGCAAGATATACCCTCTGAGCCTTTGAAATGGCATTCAGATGAGAGTATCAGATAAGATTCACCACATGTGTTAAACTTCTACTCTGTTTTGGAACAGTTCCAAGATTTTGATATTCTCTTTCTCAACAGCATTAGCTGTCTAGCCTCTGAAGAGGCTCATGGCGTGCTATTTTTCCCATGAGTATCTAAAGAAATATTTCAGCTTGCTATATAGAGAGTTGCTATGTCAGCTCAGAAGACAAGACCCACCCAACCCAGTATTCCAGCTCCATCTTTCAGATAACAGGCAATCTTTCTTTTTGGTGGGTCTCATCCTGCAGTGGGTGGTATGAGTCTCTGCTGTTCAAGTTCTTTGCTAGCTTCTAAATGCTAGTCACTTCAGCTACGCTAGGCAACCGAAGCTCTTTTGTGCTGTAGGGCCTGGGTCACATCTCTCTTCATGCATGTTGTGATCAAGGCCAAGGTCTTAGGAAATATTGTGTTCTGTTCTTATTGAAGCCAATAGCAATCTGCCAGCTGACTGCCTGGTGAGACTGAGGCCCCAGCCAGCCTCTGGCCTCTGTCCCGTCATGTGATGGCCCTAGAACTGCTTAGATGAGACTCAAGTCTTCTGCTGATCTTTAAATAATTTTGATTTTCCACAATTTATTATGCCAGTTGCTGTCAGTAACCAAAAGCTTTGCTCCAGCTTCATAGGTTATTAGAAGTTGTGATGAAAATGATGGTGTTATGGAATCAGGACCGTACCCATCTGTTGCACTGCATTCCATGGGCACAGGTGGTTCGGGACTGGATCTAGCCATGCCGTGGAAGAGCAGGCTGTGCAGCCACCGTCTTCTATCAGTTGGGATTATGTGGGCTAAATGCTAGGAATTTCCCTTACTGCCCTTGTCGTTGTAGACTTGTGATGGAAAGCGGGGCTGCCAGGTGCCAGAGGAATAGAAGGAACTGGCTGATGAACACAAGGAAATCACTGGGCCAGAAATTCGCACTGCAGAGAGCTGACTCTACAACATGCTGAAACAGACACTGAAGTGAGATGCTAAAGGATCTAAAGACACGAAATGGCAACAAGAGTGGGCAAAGCTGCACATGTTCTAAGCCAATAGTATGGCAATGTGTCTTATCTAAGCTTACCTGCTTTCTTACCTCTTCCCAAACAGCAAGAAAACACTAAGAATATCCTAAGTATAAGTTGACCTATAGACTAAGGAGTGCATGCATGCACTCAGCGTGGTCGGGAAAAATGAACTGCAGGAATTGGATCTGGGCAGGACCTTGGCAGCGGCTGTCAGGAAGCACACACACGGTGCAGAGGCATCAGACAGACAGTCCCTCCAGACCGCATTACCTGCACACGATATTGCCTGGCTTGACTGGGTCTGCAGCTAGTCCTGATGATTTACCTTGTAGTAAAGAACCTGCTCACATCTGCTTTAAAGTGTAATAGTGTAGAAATAATCTAGCAACAGAAATATTACCTTCACTAATCC